CTTTTCTCTTCACAGCTGATTGCCTCAGGGACTGCTGTCATGGAAAGCTGGTTAACAAAATGGGGGATTATGTTAACAGGCTGAACTCCTGATAGGTCTCTACCAGCCAGAGAGGGTGATTCCATGCTCCAAAAGAAACTGGAAAAAGGAAGGAGAGACAGTTCCCAGAGATCTTCCACAGCAGTGGTCCCCAGTTCCCAGGACACAGACTACGTAGTGGAACTCAAGAGTGAATTAACAGAAGTGAGAATACGCATATTAAATGTTTTCTTTCACACACAAAAAGATACACTGCTCTAGACCAGTGGCCCCAACCTTCTCTGCACTGGGGGACCTGTTTCCCAGAAGACAGTCCTTCCTCGGGATGAGTCACAAGAGCTTGCAGCCTGGATGCTTCCTGTGCAGTTCACAGCAGGGCTCAGCGAGTACGACAAGCCAAGGCTGCCCTGGCCTGACAGGACGCCGAGCCAAGAGCGATTCCAGTGATGGACGTGGCTGTAAACACAGACGAAGCTTCGCTTGCTCTCCAGCCCCTTGCCTCCCCCTGGGCTGCCTGGCTCTTGACAGCCACCACCCAAGGACCAGAGTCTGGCTGGGCTCTAGTCTAGTTTCATGAACTTCATATCCATTTATTTTGTGCTATAGAACAATCTTTAACAAGAGATGATTACACTGAACTGTTTCTTTTTTAACGGAGCTAGGGTTGGAACCCAGGGCCTATCTCTTTCTAGGCAAGTGTTCCACCCACTGAGATTCATCTCCAGTCCTAAATTCCTCCTTTTTTCTTTGGAGACAGGGTCTCACTGTGTATTCCAGGCTGGCCTTGAACTCACTCTGTAGCCCAGGCTGTCCTCGAATTTGCTGCGATCCCCCTGCCTCAGCCTCCTGAGTGCTGGGATTACAGGCGTGTGCCACCACATCCAGCTCTTGCTGCCTGTGTTCCTGTCACACCTGTGAGGTAAATATGGGTCTTGTTTGTTAGTCTGTTTGCACAGTATTGGGGACTGAACCCCAAAGGCACTGATCCACTCCTTTAGCCCTTATTTTGAGAATGTCAGTTGCCCAGGCTAACAACTTGTGAACGTCCTGCCTCAGCCTCTTAAGTAGCTGGAATTACAAGTGTGCACCACCACAACTGGTAGTTTTCACATTTTAAAAGGCTAAGAAAGGGCCAGGGATATGGCTTAGTGGCACAAGCGCCTGCCTGGAAAGTGCAAGGTTCTGAGTTTGATTCCCAGTACCAAAATGGTAATAATAATAAAAAAATAAAATAAAATAAAAGGCTGAAAAATCAGAAGAACAGTGTTTGGGGACATGTCAAAATTACACGAAATTCAGATTCCAGTGTCCATGAGTAAAATCCTGTTTATTTATGTGTCATCTATGGTTGCTTTTGTGCTGCAGCAGCAAAGCTAAGCAGCTGGAGCAGAGACAAAACCTACAGTCTTTGCAATGTGGCCCTTTACAGAGAAGACCTCCCTCTCTGTGGCTTAGCATGCATCAGCTTACACCAAGGGGTGCACGTACTTAGAGAGACAAGAAGGTTTCAACAGGACACGGCCTCACAGAGCCTCGAATTTCCTCAACCAAAGTAACAAGAGTGGCAGTTCATGGGGCTGGGGATTTAGCTCAGCTGCAAAGCGCCTGCCTGGCAAGCGCAAGGTCATGAGTTCAATTCCTGGTACTAGAAGAAAAAACAAAACAAAAAAAGAGTGGCACTTCACAAGGTTATTCTGAAGTTACACATAAGGTTATGAGGAGGATTAGATGAGATTTAGCTCAGAGTAACCACTCAACAAGC